GGCGATGGACACATCACTCGGCCAGTGGGAATAAAGGGAGCAACGATGCATCTGTTAATAATGTGCTGTGGACAGTAGAGACTGATGGCTAAACATGGCCACTCTTGGTGGTGTTCTTGCCAGTGGACTCTATGGTGCTTCCGTACTGACAATGGTAAAATGGTGATCCTGGGTCTGGATGACCAGAGAAGCCTCAGGGTAAAGTAGAAGCCTTAGAAGAGGCTGTGGACTCAAGAAACTAATGCTGCCATGCAAGAACCCCAAATGGGTCCAGCTGACACAACAGACCCACAACAGAAAGATTTCATCTTCACTTCTCATGCCATGCAAAGCTACCCTATTATTCTGCTCATACTATGGTAACACAATCCAGTCACACTAGCTTCCGTTCATACTGGCTTATATTTGGTTGCTGAGTCATCTGCGTCCAAAGAATTATTAAATTACAGCTTTACAACAGTGTGCTAGATTCTAATAGCAACTCCAGTTTGGCACTGTGCTCTTTAGTCTGGAAGTGCATTTATTTATGAACTCTTGGTTTATGTTCTGTGTTTGATCAACTACCAAATTTGGTTAAAACAAGCTTTTGCTATCTTACCTTCTTAAGCATTTATAGCACATAAAAATCATGGAGACATAAAATTATTCTGCAGTTTATTTATATCAAGTAACAGAGGCTATGCAGTTTCCAACACTAATTTCTCAGCCAAAGCCATTAAAATGTGTTGGCAGTAAGGTTATTTTCAAACCATACATCTAATTTAGGAGCTGGGGGACGCTGTGATTAACTGTGCTTGAAGAATAAGCAACTCTCTAATCTTGGTTGTCTATTTTTTTATTGTAGTTTCTGATCAAGCTACTCCTTTCTCCCTACAGAGGAGAAACAATCCTACACTGTGTTACAAGCCTACATTCAGGAAAGTGTTATTTCCTAACATCCCCACTTAGTTGTGATAGTCATACCCTGGGCATAGTTGGAAAGAAGTGACCAGCGGAAGCAGGGCACCTGCGTTCAGTGGCTGGATGCATGCGAACGTGGGGTGGGAAAATGTAGGGTGTCGGGGACAACATGCGGGCAGCAGAGCTCACATGCCAGCAGGAGCAGCCGCTAGCATGAGGAGCGTGTGGCCTGCGCCTCTCTCTGGCACAGCCACCCTTTCCCTGCCCCAAGCGCCCGTGATGCTGCGGAAATGGAGCCGTGCTTTGCAATCAGGGTGCGGTCCTTGCAAAGAGGGCTGGCGGTGGGGATGGGTCGAGAGGCAGTGGCAGAATGGGGTGCCCACAGCACAGCCTGGCACTGGGGGGGGGGCGGGTGCCAAGGCGAGCCAGCGCCACATGGGAGAGCATGCATGGTGGGGGAGGGGCTTCTGAGGGTGGCTGTGGCCGCAGCATGGGAGGGGGCGGGGCAGGGCAGGGCCTGTCTGCACTGCTGCCTTCCGTGGGCCAGACAGCAGGGAGAGCTGACCTGTCGTATTGCGTGTGCATCCCGTCACAAGGGAGTGTGGATGGGTCTACGGCGAGAGGACTGGGGAAGTGGTGTGGGCATGGAGCACGGCAGCACAGGAGGGGCAAAAGTGCTACTCTAGGGAGTAAGAGGAGAGCAATACAACAGGCACATCTGGCTGAAGTCATGCCAGGGGGCAGGGGGTGGATCAATGAGGCAATGTAGGCAGGAGCAGTGCACCCTGGGATTGAATTTCAGCCACAAAAACTGATGGGGTATCTGCTGCCACCTGGAGGGTTGAGGGAGGAGTGTGGAAACCGTGCCTGCTTGGAAACCACCTGAGTGTCTGACCACCTTAGGTAGGAAACCACAGGACATGGTCTAGCAGTATGTGTGAACACGGCCTCTGTTGAGCAGATCATGGTTTTAAAAAAAGAGCCATGGTAACCATGCAGAGTTGCTTGTCCTGCGGTGTGAGCACCACCTCTGCCTAAACATGTACAGGACTTTATATTAAGGGAACACTCCTGTTACTCTCAGACATCAACTAGGGGAGATCACATGAAGATTTGAAGCTTTGAGGTCAGAAGCAGAGCATTGACCTTGGAGCTGGGAGTCCACCTTTTGACACTACCCTTCCCCACCCTTCCCTCTGGCATGGAAAGAACACTAGCTGCCTCTCCAAGACTGTGGACATGACCTCAGAGAGGAGGTTCACACACGGTGGGCAGAGAGAGGAAGAAACTATGGCAGGCAGGCAGGCTGGCTTCAATATATCCACTTTCCTTTGCAGCGTCTTTCACTCCTGCACCAAAGTGCCCCAGCTAAATGGCCAAATACATCTGTCGAGCAAAACTGCTGAAGGGAGACACAGGGTGGCAACAATAATCTCTCCCACTCCTCCTGCTCTGCATAGGGTGCCCATAATCATCAGAGTTGGGAGGCTCGTGGTCACCCTGACTAGACTGGGCCCTACCGTTGGTGCTGCCCAATGGCATGTGCTTGATGATACAGGATTGGTTTAATTCCCCTGCCATAGTCCAGTTCTGCTAGGGAATTCTGTGGACAGTGATGCCTAAAGCAACTTGAAGTCTTCCCAAACTGTGGATTCCAATCCTAATGAGCAGACAGGGGCCAAGGGGCCTCTTTGATCTTTAGCTTACACAGCCCTTAAGGATAAGCTGTATCTAAGGAACTGCCACCAAAAACCAACTAAAAAGAAGATTTTCAGACTGAAGTCATATATCTAAATGGACCACTATCACTGCACACATTTTACAGCTCCTTTCAAATTATTTCTAATACATTTGACAATAAATTGCCGTACCTTACAAAATGATGATGTTCATTCCCCAGATGATGTGCATTGTCTGGCAGGAATCCTCCTACATAATTATCATCGAAGGCCTTCTAAGCAATGAGGGAGAAGGCCCTCTTGGGGGTGGCCCTTCAAATATGGAAGGATCCCCCCAGTGAGGCTCACCGGGCACCGGCCTTGTAATCTTTCTGGCACCAGGTTAAGGCCTCCTCCTTCCCTCAGACAGTGGGAAGCAGATCCCAATTAATCAGTTCTTGAATTTTTCTAGGCTTTTAAAGGTGTATGTACATTTCTGTGTTGCATGCCCTAAGGGTTGTATGTTGTATCTTTAAGGTAACCCCCTCTCCTAAGAGCTTTGGCTATTGAGTGGTAAAGAAATCCAATAAATGAAATTAAATTTTCACTATTCATTAGTTGCAATGACATACGGTCACCATACCCATGCTTTCTACACTATAGTGAGACAGCTAACAAGTAAGAACTATTTGAAGTTCTAGAATAGAGAGCTGAAAATTATAAGGAGACAACAAGTAGGTTTGGTACAGGATATTGATAATAGAGAATATACTATTTAACTGGTCCCATATTCAAAAAAGCATCTGGAGTCTAGCTCCTGTTATTTCCATTCACATCTGAAGACCATCTTCTAGACCCTAGAAAGAGCTTATCACCTTTCAAGTGGTCAGATGGTGCTTTTAGTGCACCTTGAAGTTAAGCTGCACCTAAATGCAATTAAATTCTTGTTATAAAAGCATTTCCATTTTCAAACCATCAGAAGTCAAACAGATGTAATGGCCAGGAGTCAAAGAACTGTGCAAAGAGCATCAGCCCCAGAGGGTACTGAAGTTGTTTTTGATCAGTCATTCTCTTTCCCAGAGGACAAATGACCTTAAAACTGAGGGCAATTGCAAAACAGTTGTGCTCTAACAAGGTGTCAGGTGTACAAGGAAAATAATCTGCACAGGTCCATAAAAAGAAACAAAGCAAAACCCATGTTCATTTGTATTTGTTTATTTTTCTTACCTCTGTATTCTGTACCATCTGGCCTTATGAAGAGTTCTGAACAATGCAAAAGCTTACATATACTTTTATGGAATTTTGGTTGGTCTTAATTAAAGGTATTGCCAACTGTAGACAGGTATACAAGGAAATTAAGAACACAGTCACTCTTGCTGCCAGTCACTAAGCTTCAGCAAAGTCAATTCAATGTTTTAGAAGGGAGAAAAACTGTACAAAAGCCAATAAAGCACCAAAGAACTGGGGGAAAGGAAGGAAGTGGGGCTGAAGGAAGGGGGAAAGGCTATCTGGGGAACCACAGAGTTGGCATCAGGACTTAGGCTCTAAATGCCTTGTTTAGGGTGCTATATGTCCCACCCACAAATTAACCTCTCAACTACCATTTGCTGAAACAAGCAGGCTTCATACCCTATGGTCTGAAGACAGAGTGTTTTAATAAATGGTAGTGACCGAGTGGTTGGGAGCAAAAGACACAAGTGAGAGCTTCGAAACACTTGCTTTGTGATTGTGCTGGAGGAGGAAATGCGCAAGCCTGAGGCTTGAAGCTACAGCTCACCCCCATAATGCTGAGCTATGGCTTAGTATGTGTGTGCAGATTCAGTATCTGGGAAACAGCAACCCGGAACAAAGCCATCTTAAAGCATACCCACTTGAAGCAAAGCCACACACACCATTGCCTCTTACCAAAAGATGCCATATCAAGAAGAGGCATGCTTTAGGTTACTACATGGTAAAGATGAAATAGCTCTGACCCATAACCCATACACTTTAGTTCAGGTTATTTAAATCCTATCCTTCTTCCAAAGCTCCCAGCAGTACATATGGGTTCCCATGCCATCCTCCTTGAGAGCAATTCTGTGAACCAATAGTACACTGTTCTAAGTTTAGTGATGTTTTTTGTACTGATTTCCAGCAAGAGCCTGGTTAACAGATCTCAAACGGATAAGGGAAACCCCAGGTTCAAATGCACACTCAGGCATGAAGTGTACCAACAGTGCAATCCTATGCACGCCTACCTAGAAATAGGATGCCCTTAGTTTAGCAGAGCTTACTTTCATTTAAGTGTGTATAGGCTGCAGCTTCAGGGGCACTCTATCTAGGCTAATAATTCAGAAAATCCTTTAAAATCAATGCTCTATATAGGACCGTATTTGCAGTGAATTTGGTGTTTTAGACAAACAACTTCATGTATACAAAAGAAGAAAGAGTGCTGGCCAAAACAAGGCTTCAAAAACGTCATTTTTATATATAAAAATCTTTACAATTTGACATGACCTTTTCACAATTGTTAAATAAGAGAGTCCACTTGGTGACCCTATTAAAAACCTGTTCAGTTATAGTTCATTTTCCTGAGCTAAATGGTACATGTAAAGTAAATGTATTAGTTATAGCAGCAGATCGAAAAAAGTTCTACATTTCAGCCTTGCCAAAAAAACAAAATTACAAAGGAAAGAAAGCACATTCTAGAAAGGGGTGCCAAGAAATCAAACAATGATTGCTCTTACTGAGAATGTGCATTCAGTCCTTCTCTGCAAAGAATTACATTCAGCCACTGTCAGACAACATAATGATGATCCATGGAAGTGTCCAATAGCGTTCCATATCATCTCTCGTTGTCCTGATCCAATCAGATCTCAAACACGTTTTAGTACCTTTTCAATTTTACTGAACTGAACAATCACACAGCTCTAGAGTATTGAACTATTCATGTTTTTCCTTGTAGAATATTCCAACTAACACACACATCCGGGATTTTCATATCCATGGCAACCATTGATTGAATATCAATATATTCTGAAGTTATTTTACATTTTAATGTCACAATTAAGCCCAGAACTACATGCATATTTGCCTCTCTGGTCCTAGGGGCCTTCGTAATTGTCTCCTACATTGCAATCATATTGTTCAGAAGACTTAGAACAGAAAAATAAGCATATCACCAATGCTCTAGCATCTCACTTTAATAAAAGAAGTAATCTGTTTTACAATGCCAGAGGCAAGTTCCATTTCAAACTCCTTAAATAAACGATAGCAAGAGAAACCAGCTCCTCATGGAAGAAGAAAAGTCCCATAGCTTCCCAGTAGATTTTGAAGTTATTTACTGAAAATTTAGATATATCTTTTAGATGAGCAATGGAGTAGAATATTTAAATCTCATACAAGCTAATATACAAATCTATGTTCCAAAAGTTGTTGGAACTGAGAATAGAAAACGTGGAACCTCTAGAAGTTGCAATAATGCATAAATAAAAATAAACTATAGTTACAAACCAAGTTCTTCCCCATAGGGAGTTTAAAACCCAAGGCTGTTCCCATAGAGGTACATATTACTGTAATGTAAGCTTCTTACAAGAAGCAAAACATACTTGCCTTCTTAATTCTAGTTTTAACGCCAAGTTCTGTTAATTTATTCTGGCCAGGAAGGCAACTGTTAGGCTAACACCCTCTAATTAAGTGTGCAAAACCCCCTAGAAATTCAGCATAGGTAAAATCAGTATAGTGAATCATTTGCACTTTTAGTCATACGAAATAAAAATTAGTATGTCAAATTTCTATTGCTTCTGTTGCACTCATTTCCAGTGCAACACTAGCCAAAATTCAAAGCATACTGAAGATTATTAAAATATTTCCAGACTTAAATCTGATCAAGTCTTCCAGGTATAGTTTAAGCTGCATGATGACAAGTTCTTACCAGAGTGGCTGGCATCTCTTTTTCTACTGGGCATTTGTGGTGGAGTAGCACTGTCAACAATGAACCTGAGCAAATTAAATTAATACGATATGAACAGTTTAAAAAAGTTTCACTGAAACCTTGGCTTTGTTCCTTGCAAACTGTGCCACTATTCCTTTGATCCTCTGCTTTCTTGCTTTTGTTTTCCAAAGGAATTTGTATTTTCTTCTTTCCACAGCAGCCAGAAAAGAGGTGGAGCAGGAAGCCACTTTTCATCACAGATTCATTCAGTCCCGAGACTGATAGAAGAGAATATAACCAGACTCTGAGTTTTTTGAGATGTCAGACGTTAACCCGTAGAAGTCTTCAATAGCTTGTGCATCTATTTTCTGTAACAAAATAGAAGGCTATAATTTCCAAAGAAAAAATGCATTGTAATTTATTTTTCAGTAAATTTTAAGCTTGCTCATGAAAGAAGCAAGACTAAGATTGCTATTGCAGCATGTTATGAAGCAAATCTCTCACACATTTAAACCACAACAAGGGACACTAAGAAAAATATGCAAAGAGCAAAATACTTGCACAAGAAGTATTCTTTACTTTTCAGACTTTGTTAATACTTCAGTTGACTCAGAAATCATTAAAACTAGTAAAACAGAACTCTTACCAAAATATTTTATAAGTAACATATCTAGAATGATAGTAACTTTTACCTCTACAATGTCATCATCAAAAAGCAACCAAAAATCATGACTCTTCACTATTGCAATATAGTGTCCTCTGTTTGGTCCACTGTTTGAAGAGAAGGGAGGGGAGGGGAGAAGAGAGAATTTTTAATATTCATCTACAATATTATGAATACATTTTCCACATAAGATGTTGAAAAATGATGCCGATCTTATGAATTAGGGAAGGAAGGAAGGAATGAAGGAAGGAAGGAAGGAAGGAAGGAAGGAAGGAAGGAAGGAAGGAAGGAAGGGAGAGTGAAAGCACCAGGAACACAAGCATCTCCGCAAATGTGGGATCCAAAATTCTACTTTGACACAAATGTACTCATTTGCAAACTTTAATTTATAATGCAGAACATGTTCCAGGATTGCTATTAAACAATTGCACCATCATTACACCAATCTATACAAGGACTCCAATATTCACAATTCTGTAAGAGATACAAGTCAGGACACATACAAGATATGAACGGTCACCAATAACCATCTACCAAACAGTTCAAACTCCAGTGGCATCTAGTTTGGACAAGTTTATTTTATACTTTTTCACAATGCACCTGCAATGTTGCAATTTCCTGTCAGCTGCTGCTGTACAGCATTGTCTCTGTCAGGAAACCGATCTCACCTTTTACTGAAATTATTAGGACACTTCCAATATTTGCAAGGAAGAATGTGATAATGAAACATATCTGACATGCTGAGCTGCCTCTTGGGCCTACTTCTCCAATGCCACTGGCATCTTTGTCCAGGATGCTGGCATCCATAGCCCTTTCCCGCCTTTCCCAGGGAAACCTTTGGAAGATATAGTCAAAGCTGCCCTCTCTTTTAGTTAACATCGTTCTAATTTCATTGACCAGCCCAAAAGGTAAGAAGAGGGATCTTCCTGCTGTATTCCTCACACTGGATTGGTGCAGCTATTCTTAGTACCCACTCCGCTTTTCACTCGTCTCTCTTACTATATTCCATTTCCCTAAAACTGAATAGGAGTCCTGGACTGTGCCTTTCTGACCAAATCCAAGGGATTGCCTTCTTTCCCCCATTTGCCTTGCCATGTGTGCTGACGAGGAAGAAAAAAGCAAGCCACTTGCGTGCAGCAATGTGTGGTCCTAGCCAGTTCCTATCTCATCCCATTCATAAAGGCCACGTTTCTACAGGATTTTGGTGACGGGGCTGCTGCTTCCCATGTTGACACACAAGAAAGGACAGGGATAGGGAACCTTCAGGCAGGGATCCCCCATGTGACCCCTTCATCTTCCCCTAAATTCACGTTTGGGAGTTTGCTGGTTTTGTGCAGTTTCTCTCCCACTATAAAGTGCTGAAGTTTCTATTCTAAGGTTTAGTTTCTTGTAGTAAGAGCTTTAAGCTAAAATAAGCTGGTATGTTTCAATATTTTGGCCACATCCTTTGTGCTGCATCCAGACAGGAAGCATCTCTGAAACTGAAATCAACTCTCAGGCTACAAGATGTTCCCCACTCCTGGCAGAGGAAAACCATGCAGAAGAGCTGTTGGATGTGGTTGCAAAACATGTGATTTCACATTCCAGCATTACCAGATGAACACTGACACAAAGCAAAACCATTCAGGTGAGAGCTGTCCTTTAGATTGCTTAGGACAAGAACAGGGCCCTTTTCCCAGGTCTGGGCATATTTGGCAGTTTGCAAAACTGATCTGGGTAACATTGCAATATGGCTTGTGCCAAGGACAAGCAACCTTCCCAAAGGATTGAGGATGAGGCATGTGATTATTTCACATGAAATAATTCTTGTGAAACCAGCATTTTAAGGACTAACAGAAGTCACAACAATCTCAACTGCCAGTAAGAACATGTGTTAATTGAAAAAATAGAAGTGGGAAGGTGAGAACACCTTAGTAAGCTCTAAAAAAGGTGCTTGGGATTGCTCTGGTGCCCATCGGTACATTGTCTATCCCAGTTTAGGAAGACACAGCTAAATAAGCATGGCATTTCCTCATCTCATCTATATCCCAAACACAACATTGTCAAATGGGCCAAAAGTTATATTTCCAGGATCTTTAACATGTAAACACAGAACTGGGTCCACATAACTCAAGGAAAGTAAAGGATCACTTCATAGTTTATTACCTCCCACAGTGAACCACCACAGCCACGAGATCATACATTCTGTCAGGATTAGTGGCATCCCCTGATGTATTAAATAAACGAAGTTCTAAGGGGAACACCACCCTGTAAGAGAGTTTTGTATATCGATGTAGCTGATCCATATATTTAAATCTCTTCAGATGCAGAGCTAGAATCATAGGAAGCTTTTTCACTTTCATCCTGAAACAAAGCAAAATGGATCACCACACTCATGCCCAAGACTAAGTTACATTTCACCTGTTTTGATGACAGTACACAAAGCCATTTAACATTATTAAAATCAACTGCAATGTCAACATATTCTTGTGGCATTTACCACACCCTGGTAATCATGATGGCATCTTCCAAGCATTAGATTCAAATAATGACCCATCACTAATATAAAACATGTCACAAATTATCACAGAATGCAAATAAAAAGGTTTTAGTAAGGGCTTGAGGCAGAGCTTCAGCAGAGAAGATTCCTAAAAATGCTCAGCTATACCACTGCTTGCAAGAAATGCTGGGCCAAGATCAAGAACAAGTTTGCATTTTGCAAATAGTTTTAAGCCTTTGGGGATTTTAGGGGATTTTCCAGACCCTATTGCTGAAAGGCTGAAATTGTTTTCAAGGAAAAGTGTCTATTCCAACCGGGAGGAGGGAACACCCCTGATGTTGAAGCAACTGGGCAGGTTCTCCCTTCCATTCAAGCCTGACCTCCACAGTTGAACAACTGAGGCAGCACATTTGAAATAAATGCAGTACAAAATGAAAGCATCCTCATGGATTGCCTCCATCTACAGCGCAGTATTTCCAACTTTAGGTGCATCTGGATTGTAAAATCATCACACTGACTTTGTGATCCCCAGTGAACCCTAAGGCACCAAGGAACAGAAAAGTAGAGCTGAGGAGGTTTTTATGAGAAGAGTAAACAAGTGCAGCTTTTGAGGGTTCTTTTGCAACCCTTAAAAGCCCATATCGCATTAAAAATCAGATGCCATGCTTCTCTACTTGCTAATGTGTGTGCTGAACTGGAGCCATTTCGTTGAAGCAAATGTTATGTATTAGTCAAAGGAAAACAAAGCCTGATGCGTAGGCAAAGTACACGGCTATATACAACATTACTCTGAAATTACAGAATATTGCATGATTTCTAGGAGCTTTAGTTAAACACAGGTTTTAACTTAATGCTTCTGGAAATTTTGGATGTGTCCAATTAGTGAACCAAAATGGCTAGAATAATGGGCTTCTCAAGCACATTCCTAGAATAAAGGGTGGGGGAGGAATATAAATAAATAAGGTCTTTGGAACTCATTGCTATCCTGAACCTACAAGTGAGATCCACTTTTTAAATTATACTTTTACTATTTAAGGCATTATCATTCTATTCCCCCCCTTTTTTTTACTCTCCTGCTGTCTGCTCCCAATCGAAAATATTGGTGGTATTGCTGTTGATGCAGCTGCTTGAAATGAGAACCAGTTGTGGTTCCCATCAGCTGAAAACCAAGAAGCTAGGAAAATCTGTCACTTGCAGATCACAGGGTACAGCTAAGAACACCAGAGACAGAACAGTGGGGTATCTAATAATCATTTTCAGGAACTAATTGTTTAATGAATCACAAGTACGGAAAGATGCTCCACAGAAGCTCCTCATTACTTTGACATAGTTAAATTTTATTAGTGACTCGAATTTAAACAGCATAGGCTTGTGCAATTTTAATCTGTCAATCAGCTCACACTCATTTCAGCCATAGGGTCACTGTCATAAAATGCTTCAAGGGAAATAAAGTAAGTACATATAGGAACTACTGCAAACTGAGTTCATAGAATCATGGAATGATAGGGTTGGAAGAAACCTATAAAGCCATAAGTGTTGTTGGGTTGGATTCAGGATCTGCCATCTCTTAAAGGATTTTGCTCACCAAAGGTACAGCTCACTTCACCCCATTCAGCAGGATCCACTGAAAAATAGAGCTTTTTCAGGGAGCTCAAGAAATTGCTTTGAGGAGGAAAGAGCAAAGAAATTTGCTTCTACCAGTCTGGCTGCACACAGGTAAACTGGGATCCTGTGTATTTCTTGGGGCTATTACTAAAACTTCACTCTCAAAATATGATGTAAAGAGAAATATTTGGATGAGCTGTGGACATATCTTGAAACTTAGGCTACACGCTTGAGGTACCTTTTGTGTGCTTCCTGTTTACTGCGACATTCTTCACAATAATATTTATATTCACTGCACAGGGTTTCTGTATTGCTGAAGCCCCTAAAACAGAAAAGCATCTATCAACATGCAAGAGAGACTCCAGTTTCTGAACAAATTATACAAACAACCTAACAATCAATAAATGTCTCATTTAAATGTACTCTGTGCAGGATTGTGCACAATATTACAGTCTTTGGGACATGTGGGTCTGAAAGAATAGAAAATATACATAAGCTATAATGCTATCTAGTGTTAAAAGTTCAGCTAATATGAAGAGTGCTATGAAATACTATAACACCAATGTAAATGGGCCAATTAAAAACACATTTTGCCTACATAATCTCAAGCAATTTTGTTCCTTTACATACACTGACAGAATCGGCAATCAGGCTACTTATTATACCTTAAACAGTGTGTGATTGAAGTATTTTGCTCCACATCAACAGAAAGGTCTAAAAAATCTTCGTCTTTGCTGCTTATCTGCAAATTAAAAAGAAATCCCTAAATTATCCTTTATTCCCAGAGAACAAGCTTTAAAACAGATCTCACAATGACCTTCAAATGATCTAGAAATAAAAATAATTGATCTTGAAAGCCTCTTTAAAAGCTTCAGTAGTATAAAAGGAAGATGGGACTATAATTTGGATAAGAGAAAGCAAATGAAACGATGAACCGGGACTATACTGTCTTTCTTGTGAATTTAGTCTAACAGTACAGTAGCTTTTGTACTGTAACATTCACAAAGTACTAATTGTTTCCAATAAAAGATAGTGCAACTGATAAATTGTCCCTTGGTGGTTGGGACACTGATGGCTTCCTCGCTCACCTCACTGAAATACGTACAGCGTCATAGTGCAAAGGCAACCTTTGCAGAGCTGATAACGGTCTTGAATGTACTGGGCCAAATCATGCTCTAAAATGTTGTTGTTGTTGTTATTATTATAACATTTCTATGCCGCCCCTTGCCGAAGCCTCGGGGCGGCTTACAACACAAAAAAATACATTGAAATACGATAGAACATAATAAATTACCATTAAATACAAAAATACAAAAATACATTGAGTTACAAACATAATAATATAAAATTAAAATTATCAGTATAAAATAAGTAAATAAATAATATAGTGATAGTAATTCCCTTTCAGATATATTTAATATTGCATTTGTCTGTGTTTCAAGGAAAACGGACAGTTGGCACAAAGCAAGAGGATTATTAGAAATAAACTTTTGGATGAACAATGAGATAAAGAGAAGAGCAGAAAGTCTAAGACAAGCATGGAACGGGGTATTGTCAAGGGGAGAAGTAAAATGTAAGGCCCACTGTGGTGCGGTGGTCAGAGTGCTGAACTGGGGACACTTAAATTTGGGCCCCCACTTGATCATGAAGTTCCCTGAGTGACTTCAGCTCAGTTGCTGATTCAGTTCTCCTCCTTCACAGGGTTTTGATGAGGATGACATGGAGAAGGGAAGGATCATACATGTCATCTGGGAGTCCACAGTGAAAAAGACCAAGATATCAGTGTAACAAATGAATAAATGAAGTGACTAGGGATGCCATGGCAAAATACAGAAAGCTTTGAAATATTCTGTATTCCCTCTAATAAGTCACCATCTTGCCATAATCTGAAATACAGCTATCAGCCAGAAGAATGTGCAAAGTTTTGAGGGAGTCGGCAAGGGATCCATTTTCCTCTCTTCTTGTTGTGAAAATGTGTGGAGGCAAGTGCCTGAAAGGGGCTGTTCTGTCCTGAGAACTTGGTGAAGACCCCTCTCGTTCTAGAAAATGAGTGGTGAACCAGCTTTACATGCCTTTTACCAGATGAACAACCGAAGCCTGAGGGAAAGTATTTTATCCAAGACTAGAAGAAACCTTGATTGATTTTTTTTAATCAACCTTGTATTTGAGATAGCAATTCTGAAAGGGAGAGGGCTATGGGAGACCTGAAAAGAGAAATGCCACAGTGCAAGGAGAGTGTTGCCATCAGAAGGAGCTAAACCAAGTCACATCCCAGATAAAAAGACTTGTCACTTTACTTAGTAATTACGTGCCTCTTTGATCCAACCTTCTGCATGTATATCATCCATATTAAAAGCTATACAAGATTCTTTCTTTGAAGTTCCATTTTCCTTCACTTCCATGCAAGATATGCACACAATGGGTCTAGATAGTTTGCTTTCATGTTAATTAATTCATAGGCAACAGCAACAAAATGTTGCAGGGATTGGTATGTCTGCCCCAGAAAATGAAATGAAATGTCAAAATAAATTATGGAACTGGAGTCCTGTGTTCTGTCACTACATGAACTTGTCCTGCCACCATTTCAAAAAGGAAAAACAGAACATAATCCTTTAAAAAAAAAAAATAAGACAGGCTTATTTTTGCACCTCTAAAGTAAGCTTGACATACTCCCCTGAACCTGAGGTTAACTAAGCAGGTTACCCTATACACTGCATTTATTGCCAGGGACTGAATTACAAGCAAATTACTCTTAGTTTTAACCTCAGCTAAATAAGCTGATCTGGTTCTCAGCCTTGCCATGTATGCAGTCCTAGAGCTCTCTCTGCCCCACTCTTGCGCTCATTGTCGGTGGACATTTTCCTGCACTTCCTCCAAGACAAGGGAAAATTGCTAGACAGGTGAAGTTAGTGCAGACTAGCTGCCACTGAGGCTAAGGTAAGAACCTCAGGGATGCTTGTGTCATATTCCCCAGTGCCTTCCCCTTTCTTACACATTTCTGCACTCACATTCTTCAATGGCCCTGTGTTGGTTACAGAGCTGTTGACACTGCAGGAGTCAGTATTATTTACTTGTTACTCTTATATCACACCTTTTCCCTAAGGAGCTCATGGTCCTCCTCTTCCTCCTCGGCTGGTTCCTTGAGCTTTGCCCCATTGGAATGCATCCTGCCTTCCACAGCAGGAAAGAACAGGTCACGGCCCTCTTCCACATGGCATTGCCTCACATATGTATAAGTCGCTAAAAGATCCCCTTGGAGTCTCCTCTTCTCCAGGCTAAAAAGACCCATTTCCCTCAATCTCTGCTCATATGTCCTCCGTCCCAACCTGGCTACCATTCTTGCGATCCTGCACTGAACCCATTCTAACACATTATCTCCTATAATGTGGAGGCCAGAACTGGATGTTGTCCCCCAGTTGTGGGCACCCCAGAGCTGTGCAGAGTGGTATCGACACCTCCCTAGATCTGGAAGCCACGCTTCTGGCTATTCAAGGGTGGCGTCTCCCTTCTTAACTGCTGTGTCACACTGCTGCTCACGTTCAGCCTGCTGTCGGCAAGGTCCCTGAGATCCCTTCCACAAGTGCTGCTCTCCAGCCACTTGTCCCCCATCCTGTACCTGCGACACCTATTCCTGTGTCCCAAGTGCAAGACATTGCACTTACACACAGACGTCTTTTTGTTGGTCTTCCATGAGTGAGTACTTCAGGCTTTATGATAGGTACAAGTCTTGCTTTGGCAATGGCCTTGCAAAAAGATGTGAAAGGGACTTAAATCAGGACTCAGTCGTATTTTCTTTCACAGTCACATTTTCATTCTTTCTTTTCTTTCTTATTTTCCTTTTCTTTCTTTTTTCTTCCTTTTCTCCTTTTCTTTAGTTTTTTGAAAGTGGTTGTTTTATGCTGTGCTTATTATTTAATGTTTAATTATTGTTTTATTGTATTGTTATATTACTATTTTAACCTTTGTGAGCCATCCTGAGGCATGTCTCGCAATGGACAGGATAAAAATGTTTTAAATAATGATAAATAAAATAAATAAATACAATAGATAACATACATGGAAAATGACACGGCCTATAGGCTCATTTGCACACAGTTGCCAGCTATCAATGGCCTAGCCGTCATGTGTAAACTAAAATAAGGAAAGAGCTCAAAGTAGGTTGCACCAACAGGGAGTGGCAACAATGCCATGCCTGCTGGAATGAATGTAATCCTCTGGCTTTTCTGATGGAATGGAGTGTTCTCACTACTCTCTAATATTTCAACACTTTCACAAGGTTCCAGCTATTGCAGAAAAGGGAGCTATTGACTCCCCCCCCCGTTTTTTTGGAATGCTTACGGCTGCAGGTAGTGCAGATCTAAACAGAAAAAAGAAGTCTGAGGAGCCACTGAATGTGAATGAATGAATGGAAAATGTACCACAGTTGCCCAATTTATTGCATCCTGTTTTGCCACTTTTAGTCTTAAAAAATTAAAAAAAAAACCTGTTGCCCATTTTTGGACTCGGAAATACAACTAAATTTAGCAGCTTGAAATCAAATGGAAGGAAAAATTGAATGCCCCTAAAAACTGCTACACTGATGTGAATGTTCAAGTTGCCCCCCACCCCCCATACACTACCCTGCCCTTAAATCTTTAATATACAAAATATAAAACCGATTTGAAGTGGTTAAAGCCGTTACAATAAGATGTATGATGACTGGAAACCATCACTGCAGGACTTTTAAAATATCCAAATATGCACAGGATTGGACCCTAAATGACATACGGGTGATTCTTATGCTTACCGTTTCACAAGTGAGACATCTTGTTTCGTTGGTTAATGTTCCCTGAAAGATTTCATGAACCCATGTTGGGTCTGGTGGGACTTGCGTGTTGTTGTTTTCAGTGCCAATGCTGCCGTTAGGAAGGCGTCCGTTTTGTTTCTCCTGTTTCCTCTCCTCTTGCAAAATATCTGCTACAGTATTCAATAAGTAGTTCAGGAACTCATGTGCATCTTGTTGCATATAGTTGTCAAACAGTTCTAAAGCACAGAAAGAAGAAAAGGTGCGCTACTCACTGGCCGAACAAAAGGCAAATAGTATAAACAGAGATATAAACTGGCTGTTGGGAAGCTACCATGGGAGAGAGAGGGATGTTGACCTCATGGTCAGACTTATAGGCTTCCCATGGGAATCTGGTGAGAAAGGGGATATCCAGCTGGACACGCCCTTGGACCAATTTAATAGGGGTCTTATGCTCAGCATTCTATACATTATTCACCTCACAGTTTGACCAAAAGCCACACTCCAGAATCAAGGATACAGTTAGCATATGGCAACCTCTATTACTGCACTCCTAGGCATCCTCTCTTGTAGTGAATCATTTGTTCCCATGGAACACATAAAGCTATAAGGAAAACTGTGGCAGTAGGATAAAGGCCACTTACTGCCTGAACTGAACCGCCTGACCTCACTGATCGGGTCATCTTGGACAGATTAAACGTATTTTGGGGATTGCTGCTTGGTCTCATGACTTCTTTGCTATTGGATCCTATTGCTTTCTATCATCTATATGAAGCCGCCTGAAGGAGGCACTGGGGATAAGCTGCTATCAGTATGCTACCACCACCTGGCTTGTTTTCTCCTTATCCAAGTCAAACTGGTGCCTGGAAAGAACAGATGAGCTAGATAAAGGCTAATGAACAAGAACCCAATTCCCCCCACCAAAAAAGGTGGGACCTGTGTGCAGATGGAACTGGTTCAAGGGAATGGTGTTTAACCTGTGCAGGGGCTGGATAGCCCTGCATGCTCTGTGAAAGATCAGCTGTGCTGTTTGCAGGGGCTCCTGCATCAGCTTTCCCATTAGACATCCAGAATACCTTGTACCAGCTTAGGCTTGTAAAACAGCTATGGCTTTTGCTTGATGGGAATAGTCTGGCCATGGCTATCCCCATGGCTATCCCCATGCTCTGGAAAGTTCCCTGGTTGACTAATGCAGTGTGATATATATGGGACTAGAGTCTGATCTTGCATAGTGAGCCGAAGTGAAAAGGAGTCCACCAATACTTGTGGAATGAAGGTTGCACAACCAGCATCCTTCTTTCACACCAGGAGCTACAGCACACAGTGGCCATACGGGGCTCCATGCCTAGTGAGCCCCGAGCAACCGAGCTTCTTCAGCATCAGATGCAGCAGCCCAAGCAGTGCAGGAGGAGGATGCTGTTTGCACGGCATTTGGGCACTTGTGCTCACCAGGAATTCGGACTCAGAGCTGCTGCAAAACAGATCAGAGTCCAGGCAGCTGAGCCCTGTGAATCCATCCCCAAACAGATTTCTCACACAGCTGTATATGGGACCACCTTTAAAGACGATTTGGAAATCACAGGTAGCAATATAGTTGCTGTATTTTGTACTAATATTTTGTCCCCATTTAGTAGGTACAGAAGGGTGCCTAGGAGCAACATTTCATAGGTTCAACTCTGGAAGGTCAAGTCAGAGGAAGAATGGTGGGCATTAACAGAAGGAAAATACCCCCAACCCAACATGGTATGATTTAGATGCAAACATTTCACAACAGCAAAATAAAGCATTACCGTTCTCTTTTCGCAGTCTTGTTATAAACTTTTTTGGCGGTATCACTCCAACCTTTTTCTTTTGTGTAGCTATACTGTGAAATAGATCAGCTAAGCAGGTAAGGAGACTCTCTTTTTTTCTGGGCTGATTCTTGTATGCCAAGACTTTCTCTCGGAAAGGACGACAAAAATAAAGCGCTTGAAGAACTGAATTGCAATAGCAAGTATTTCCAAACTAGAATACAAGGAAATGACCTGTTAGGTTAGACTGAAAAGGAACAAGGGAAAAGGGAATGAAACAAAAATCAGGTCTTCTAAGACATGTATTATTGATATTTGGGTTAAGAAATATAACCCAGTCATCAAATAGCGGCAGACTTCACAGACAGCAAAGCAGGCACCTGGTGCTTCTCTGAGGTACGGTTATTACCTAGAAATGTTCCAAAAGTCGGTGGGCATCTCACTGCCATACAAAAATCTCTGTATCATTCATTATTTTGGGAAGTGAGCTTGAAAAACCATCCAGTTTACAACATCTGCAATAATGCTCATGCTGCCCACTTTGAGGTTCACATGACCCTTGTCAAGGAGCTGATTCCTCTCTCCTTCATATAATTATGAAACTGGAAATAGGCTGGAGAAGGGGCAGGTAATGGTAGGTAGGAGACAAAACTGATGTAAGCCAGATGATATCAAGTTTAAGGCTAATAAGTGAAGGCGTGGAGGGGCAACTATGACCAGGGAGAGTAAGAGAGAAGAGCTGCAGCTCAGTGGTAAAGCAAAGGTAAAGCCTGTAGAGGGTCCCATTTTCTGTCTTCAGCATTGTCAGATCGCACAGGGAAGAATCCTGTGTGGATCCCTAGAAAATTGCTACCAGTGAGCATGAACAGTACTGAAATACCTGGGCCAAAAGTCTAGCTCAATATAAGGCAATTTTCAATACACTTTTCAATGGCAATGCATTTGCATGTTGCCAAAATCACTAAATTAGCACTGGGAAGGAGAGGTCTGCATCCAAATATTTCATTGTTTAGATTTCTAATCCCATAATGCCCACCAACTGTTGAAGGCATCTTTTAACAAGCCAACATCCCAGTCAACTTAACACAAGATATTTTAGGACTGCACTTTCACTTTAATGCTTTTCAAACTTAAAACTACTAATTACCAACAAATATTAAGTTGCTTTCTGTCCAATTTAGATGTTAGTTCTTTCAATTTGCTCTTCCGGTACAAGAACAATGTCAATTGTTCTTTCTTTTCAATTTGCTCTTCCAGTAATGTAATCTAGTAATTTTCACCCTTCCACTGAATATCCTAAAGTAGCGGCTTCTCTCTTCAAGGAACCTTCTCAGCATTGGTTCATCTGGAACCACCTGAATAACCTGCCATGGACACACAAGGCACTGCATGGATCCTAGACACGGTCTAGAGTGCACTCAGGTGCAGGCAGGGGTGGAATTTCACAGTGATCTCCTGTGAAGAGGGTGAGATGTAAACATGTGTAACACTCTCCTGAGGCTGCACATGGCATGAGGAAATTGCTAGAGACAGACAGGCTGTTTTTCAGAAACGCGTGTCTGCCTTTATTTATCTTCTCATCAAGGAATCTCTAGTAGGCTTCTCGGGAATCCCAGGGTTCTCCAACACAGATTGAAAATGCCGCTCTTAGTAGCAAAGCACATTGTTTAGTACATCAAGTATAAAAAACCTGGAGTTAAAATCAAGACATTTTAATTCAAGACCACTTGATTTAAAAATGTATTCAATTAACTGTTTTTTCCCCTGTGCCCAGAATCTATATAGCCCTAAGGTACTAGCAAAGTAATACTTGAGCAACCCTATTATTCAGTCTAATCTTTTTTTTTCCCAAAGCAAACAAAATACGCCACTTACATTTACTAATCCAAAATAGTGTTCATTGACTGGAAACTGTTCTGGGCCAATTTCTTTTTCCAAGGCTGAGGCATTAGCGCCCTAGGAGGAAAAAAGTGTAGGTTTTATGAGTAATTGCAGAGAAAATCAACTACAGCGATACAGAATAAAGCCCCCATCTTTGATACACTTAAAAGCATGCTTCCTGCTAAACATGGATATTGAAATTTCTGTTTCCTCACAAGAAGAAAAGGGCAAGAAATAAATGCAAGGTAATAATTATGATGATGAAACTTTTAAGCAGCCTCGGAGATCACGTAATCTAGCCATAAGTTTACAAAAATTGGACTCTTCTTACAGCAGAGAGAGAAAACTTTCCAGTCTGGGTGAACAGCACAACTTGAGTCGGGGTTGCCCTTCCTCTTCCCCAGAAGTTTATCTAGCCATGATTTATTTATATGCATTTATTAAATACATTTTTATCCTGCCCAATAGCCTGAAGGCTCTTTTGTAGAATTATTATTGCTCTTATTAACAACTACAAAAACCAACTACAAAAACCAACAACTGCAAGAGAAAACTTATTCTGCTTGTGTTTAGAATACGAATAAAAAGAAGTTGGACATTGTTGAAGAGTAAGTAAAGAATGATTTAGGGCAGGTACGCCCAACCTTGTTGGGCTGGCAGAAACATTTGGGATGCGGAGGGAGTGTTGCTAGTACCACCAGAAAGAAGATGGCTGCTTTGGTAGCTGTAGTCTGTCAAAAATACCTGTGGAAGCTAAAAGGTAACACTCCCCGGCCCCCCGCAACACTACACACATACCCAAAGGATCCCCCTTGTCCCTGCTGCTCCCCCACCATGCACTGCACAAACGTGCCAGAAAGACTGTGGATCTGCAAGATCCAAAGCCCTTCCGTGTCCCTGACCTGGCTTTGAAAACGGCAGGAACCACCCTATCCCGGAGCAGGTGTAGTCCATTTCTCTCCCATTCATTCCACCAGAAAATTAATGAGAAAAGGAAGGGGGCAAGAAAGGAAAACATAGCTCCCCATCTCCTCCCCTCTGGCTTGCCAGCATAAGTAAGCCCTGGCCTTTGGACAGGATGCCGCCTCTGCATAGCAGGAATGCTCTGCACTTCACATTAGAATCTGGAGAGCAGGCCTTGAGAGGAAACACAGATCCTGTACTGCAAAAAGGATAGCGTCATTTGTTATTACTGCGGTGATGTGGCAGTCAGTGTGCTTCAGCAATCCACTCTATATATTTCACAGCTCTGCTTAATCCATAAATACTTTACAAGCTTAACTTCTTCTCATATTGCAAGCCTCCCATCAGTTCGGCACTCATTCATAGGTTTTGCAGCTTCTCACTTTTGCAGCACCGATTCTACTTTGTATGAGGAGAGTAAGACTCCAAAGTGCTCATTTTCAATACATCTGAAAGGTTTCTCTTCTTTGAGGAATCTGGCCCCACTCCAATCACTGGAGTACTCATCTTCTTTCATGAGAAAAAAGCAGAAAAGACTTTATGTTTATGATAGGGCCATCTCCATTCCTCTAAATACATTTTTAAGTGCTCCCAGCAATGTTGCAAGTCTAGACTTAAGAAAATAGGATGCTAAGGGACATGCCATTCCTGCCCCTGCTCCCAGAAGAGATAGTTTAAAAAGTCCTTGTTCCAAGTGATAACAAGAAAAAATGTTCTATCTATATATACAGTTTCTCAGGCCACCTGTGTTAGAATTCTTCTTTCCCAGTTAAGTTTTGAGAATGTATAATGGTTTGTTTACCTAACCATCATAAATAAAAACAAAGTAACATTGCAAAGTAATAATGAGGCACTTGCATGTGAGGACCTAGGTAGTTACTAGTGTATTCTATTAAAGTGTTTATGCCATTTCTAAAACTGCTTTTAAAGGGTAATCGAGAGTGTAGCAGATCTTGATTGGCAGCTGCATCAAAGGTGCAGCTACCTTGCCTATAGAACACTGCCTTAAAGATTTCTTGCCTTAAAGAAATCACTGTGGTCACTAAGGGTAAGGAAATAATGTTGATGTTCTACTGGATGTTGATTAGCTATTTAATGAAGAACAAAAAGACATGTAAGAGCCAGTTAACAGAATGTACCGGAGGATAGGAAAGAGAGATACACAATCAAAAGGCATAGCAAATTATTCTTACTTGCACATCTTGTAAAAGTGCAGGGAAATTCACTAGAAAATGTAACAGAAAGCTCAGTTTATTTGTAGGCACATAAAGTTCAGAAAGACAGCGTAATTGAAGGCAGAGGGAAATGGAAAGGGAGGGGTGTGTGAATGGTAAACCTTGGGGAAGGAGAGGTCAGCAAACAAATGGAAGTAGTTTGAGCAAACACCACCAGATATGAAAAACCAGCAAGAGTTTAAGCCAGCGTTCTTCGCCTCAAGTCCAGCTCTCCTTTCAGCGCCTCGTTCACACAGGCACTTTGTAGCCTTGCCTTGCTGCTTGCTTTAATGGTGGGCCAGCTGCTGCAATCTCAGCAGCTCTGGAGGTGGGAAATCGGGAGACCTGCCCCTCCCCAGGTACAGAGCGCTAGAAGGGAGGAAACACAACCTTGGTGTGATCAGCTAATTAGCTGTCATGAACAGGGAACCTTAGAAGCAAAGAGCAATGCCACTGGCTGGCTGCAGTCAGGCACTGTTTGGAAGGAAGGCTGGATCTTTCAGCGAGAGAGAGCAATTTGGGCTTGCACTGGGAGATTAGGCAGAACTGAGTAGAGCACAAAGACAAATCCAAAGAACGAATAAGCCGATCAGAATGTGTCCTCCTGGTGATGAAGGGGGCATTAGGCCTTGCTTGGATGAAGGGGCATCAGGGCAGCACTGCCACTTGATGCCCTTGCCCCACAGAGCCTGCGAACAGCTGCAAACTGCCTTCAATGGTGGTGCCTGGAGCCCAAGTGACTCCTGCTTAAAGCCCAGTGGAGATCAATGTTCCAGGCTGCAATTCTTAGAAATGCTCTCCAAAGTGGTACAAGGAATGCTTGTGTAGATTGCAGGGAACCCCCTTTTCTAAACTAGCTTGACGGATTGCTCATCGTGAAGCCCAAGGCTGAGGCACAAACAACGGCTTCTAAGTGCATCTGTACAGAAAGATGCAGCCAACAAGTAACAACTGAAGTGAAGGGTTTAGGTACCTACAAAGTCAAGGCACCTGAGGTTATTTCTGAATTTGAATAATACAGGAAAATGTAAGAGAGAGCAGGTGTGCTATAGTGCATGGGCTCAGTTGAATCCACCCCTGAGGGAATTCGGAGTGTGTAAATCTTAGGTAGCTGTTGAGGGGGTCACAGAAAAAAAGTATTTCCATGATTTAAATACACTTATACATATAAATATTCTATTTGTGTCTGTGACCCTATCTGAACAGAGAACATCTAATGATACTTATTTCCACTGGACCAAAATAGGTCAGTGGGATAAGTAACAGGGACTGGTTACTATGGTGTTATGCTCGTGCTTTATGATCTACACTGCAGAATCTGTTCCTGAGCCCAACTCGAAGTGCTGGCATTAAACTACAAAGTTTGGGGTCAGGTTGCTTGAAGGATTATCTGCTTGCATGCACACTTGCCAAGACCCTAAGATCTTCCTCTGATGCCCTTCTCTAGGTACCCACATCAAAAGAGAGGTGGTATAAGTGACTCCTAAGAAGGCCTTTTCTCTGAAGGTACCCCAAGTGCAGAATGTGTCCCCCAGAGAGACTCACCTGGTGCCTACACTGTGTTTTCTGCACCTGTTTAGAACCTTTTTTATTTTCCCAGGCTCTTCAGGACTTGGGCTTTAAAAAATTATGTTAGTATTTTTAGGGTTGGTTTTTGTTTGGTTTTGTTTGGTTTTGCACCACTGCATTTTTTTTTTTTTTTTTTGCGCCTTGGTTCTTACTCTGGTTTTATTTTGTTTAACATACAGGGGTTATAAATCAGTTTTTCCTGTGTTGTTGTATTTTGTTGTTTTAAGTTGGTTTTGTGAACCCTCCAGAAAGCTAGTAGGTGATACAAAAATTTAACACACACACACAAGCCATTTAAAGGCTGGTTTTCCAATATGTTACTCGGTACCATATCCAAGTGCTCAGACATAATGTAGAATGCCACAAAAGACCTCCAAACAAATAAATGTATAGTTCTTAAATGGCAAAAAAAACTTGTTTGGACCAAGTTATGGTTTTATTAGGAACATTAAGGAACCAGTAGCCTCAGTGATACCCTGCTGCATCACACCAAGTACTGCTCCTTGCAAACTGTTTCCCTCAAGGACATACAATCACCGCAAAGCTGCAGATGGAAAAAAAGAGACCAACAGTTTCACATCTTTACACGGGACCTGTTCTTGGGGCCCGCTTCAGTGTAGCAGGACATACAGAACAGGCTATGCCCATTGGCTTTGCAAGCGCTACCTGTGCAAACCTGGATTGCTCCTTTTACATGTCCTCTATTCATGTACCTTAGAAAACAATCCCCTAAAAGTCTGAGAGGCTACAGGGTACTTCAGATGCTATGACCTCAGGATGGGAGATCAGCTTGCAGCTGATGTGGGAAGAACCAAGCTGGATGTCCTCTGAGGTTGGGAATTCAACCTCTGAGTGGGCGGAGAGGAGAGGAGAGGAGCCCAGAAAGGTCAGGATACAAGTGGTCTCTCCAGACTCCTTTTTTCCCTCTCTAAAGCACCCCAGCTTGACAGACAAGAAAAAGCCCATCAGGGCAGGAAGCTAGAAAGGCAACAATCACCTCCACTGCTCCTCCTACCTTGCACAAGATGATTGTTAAGCCTCTACATTCAGAGGCATATGATCATGGAGGGCGCAACTCACAGGACTGTGCCCTTAATTTGTTCTGTACTAAGAGTATAATTTACATATGTTTAGAAAGAAAAGGTCAGCTGGCTGAGACATGCTGAGAATTACAAGAGCTTTTTCTGTCTAAACATGAATAGAATTGCACCCTAAATGTTTGTATAACATAGTAAATATCTTCATAAATGTATCATTCATTGCATTTTATTTTAAACAGATGAAATCTCAAGTTAGTCTGCAAGTTATCCTTCCCCAGTGTGGTTTGCTGAAAATGTTTCACCGTACAGTCCACTCATGTCATCTCATCAGCCTGTTAGCCAAAGTATCTTCAGAATACCACACTGGAGAAGACTGCTGTAAGGCATGTTAACCAGACATGTTCCTACCACCCCCAAAGGACTCAAATTTCAGCTGATATGATACTGGAATAATACTCTGCCACATCTATGTTTTCAAACAATATAACATTTAATGTATAAGACCACTGAAGAATTAAAAGTATTCCTATACTTGTCTAGAATGCCAAATTAATATCATTAAATCCTAATATTTTATAAAACAAGGCCATCTCACTGGCATGAGTATTTTTTGATGACAGATACCACAGGCTAGTACTCGGCTTGTCATTAAAGAACGAAGAATCAGTGCAAATTTTTAACTCCTCCTTTTTTCCCCCCATTGGTTTGTGGGGTTATGGGACACACAAGTGCTATAAACAATCCTGCATCAGATGAGATGCCACTTACATCATTATTACCCTTTGCAGATGCTTGTATCTTTTTCTAAGCAAGACAGCCTTTGTACCTGACTTCCAGCAGGACTTCTCTATTCCATTCAAGGAGTAATGGTATCATGATTCCTCCACTGTTTACACTAAGCAGCTAAGTATTTCAAAGTAGGATGGAAAGAGCACAATCAGCAAACCTACAGATTATTCATAAAAATCCATATGCCTAAACCACATATCAGAACAGCCTCCCTCCTCCCCCTTTTATTATTCCGGTGGTTCTCTGCAGTAGAGACTCTGATTCATTAGTTTCTTTCATAGTTACTTAAGTCATACGTCAAAGTCAAAGTATGCCAGCGTTGACATCATTATTGCGTCCTTTAAAGAGGATTAACACTAGTTTTGATCCTGTCCTCCTTTTCCAGTAATTATAGCATAAGGGGAAAGCATGTCTAGACAGAAGACACTACAAAATCACAGGAAGACTTCACAGGCATGACAACCAAGTTGAAGTAGGCTCCAGTCCACAATAGTTTATGCCATACTTAGTCTTTAAAGGTAAGCTCTGTTGTTCTGATGCCACCCTATCAGTTACCACACTTTGCATATGAAAAGCACCTTCCTTGTTTGCTTTAAATACAGCTCTTACACACCCTGGTGTGACAGTTCTACCTGAGGCCCACTGTGGTGAGGCCCATCTCCTAACGCTAGCTTCTCAAAATTATTAAGGACATTAATTTGATTCCCTTCATCTCCCTTTGCCATTCCATCCGCCTCTCCAATTCATTATCTAGCCCAGTGGGCAGAAGGTAGATCTCAATCTCCTGGAAGGTTCTCTGGCCGGTTTACAGCAGATCAGCAAGCATTTCTGATTTCCCCCTTTCTATACAAGATGGCAATCAAATTACTCTCCCGACCTTAATTATCCCGCTGAAGAAAGTTTGGGGTAACTGTGAGCTCCTTTCGGTTTCGGTACTCAAACAGAACGGACACCTGGGCTCGAATGCTTCTAAACCAGGCTGCGCCGGGTGGATCTTAAATTTCTAGTCTGCAATGTAGCCTGTGGGAACCTGTACGGTGCCCACCCCGACCTTAGCTCAAACCTCTGTCTCCCTGTTTTAGCCTTGTCTTCCGACCCGGCTCCCAAAGCAGCAATCACGCCGCGCGGGGGCTTCTCCCTCTTCCCCCCTTTTCCCTTTGTACACGGGGAAAGTCAGCCTCATCGAACCCCGCGGGCCTTGCTTCCGAGTCAACCCGCACGGCGGGCTGCAGAGGGCCAAATGCCGGCTGCACACCCGCGTTCCTGCCATACAGGAAGCCCCCCACTTGCACCGCGTCGAGCCCACCCCTTCCCCTCGGCACACGCCCCCAGATCCCTCCCAAGCGGACCTCCAGGCACACCCACACGCAGGCTCCGCCTGGACTTCCCCACCGCCGCTCTGCTCGCCCCAGCATGCGACTGGGTCCCCCATGCACCGGCCTCTGCTCTCCCCCACCCGGGCCCCATAAGCCCCCCACTCACCATGGTACAGATGGAGGCGATTTTGGAGACTGTCATTAGGATTTCCATCCGCGCAGCGCCATCTTCCACCCAATCACAACGTAGAGGCAAACCGGGGGAGTCCCGCTCGTAGAGGAGGCGGAAGGAGGGAGACCGTCGGTGGCGCCTCCTCCAAGCAGCTGCCTGGAGAGCGGCACACGGCGAGGATTCAGCCCGCAGGTCGAAGCGCCCGGAAGCCGCGCCAACCGCCGATGGGGGCTCGCTTGATCGCTCCCTCCGTTCGACGCCCACCTGCCCCCTCCCCACCCGTGCTTGCTGGAGCCACGCCCCCTTTCGGCGCGCGCGCGCTCACAGCTGCGAGAGGCGGCCCTTCTTCCGCCCACACTCTCAAACCCAGAGGCTCCAGCAGCCTGCGTTTCAACTTCGCCCAGGTCCTAGCGCCGTGGGATTCTCTATTGCATCCAATCACGTTGCCAGGAGCAGCGCGGGAGCAGCTCCGATCGCCTCTGCTACTTAATGGGAAAGCGTAGCCGGGCGATGCCTGCTACCGAGAAGATCCTAAAGGACCCCCACGCCCCAATATTGCATGTGCTAATTTACATATGCGTTCTCTCTTTTTAAAGAATACACTTTCCTAAGGATAACCCTATTTGTAAAAAGGCCAGGGAAAAGAAGTGTATTTGATTAGAGGCGATCTGATGGCAACGGAGATCGTCAATGCACCGTAGGTTTATATCAACAAGTGCCCATGAACAGCAGGTGGGGATGGCCGCCCAAACGTCCAAGGTAACACCTTACACCGTTTCTGCACGGCTGGATCCTGGAAGGGCATTTAAATAGGAAGAGGCAGGCGAACTGTTGGGTAGCTCTAGCCTATGGGTGTTTGCTCATACATGGTCTGATTCCCGCTTTGCGGCATTATTACAAGCCCTCAGTATTATGCATGCTTACCTAGCAGTATGTCCCAATGAAATATGGGTTGTTGTAAACCGCCCAGAAAGCTTTGGCTGTAGGGCGGTACAGAAATGAAATAATTGCCTTCTGAGCAAACATTCATGGGATAAGGAATTAACATGGTGTGCTGTATACAAAAGTAAACCCCATAAAGTTCAATGGGGCTCATGTTAGGGTGAGCAGAAATTCCACTGAACCCAATGTGTCTTGCATCTGAGTAGGAGTGCTAGGCCCACTGCATTGTTCAAAGACCTAACATGACCTAGGAGTTACAGCCTTGGAGCCTTCAATGGAAATAAACTACAATATCTAGAAACATGCAAACTACAATAATATAAACTTTATGAATGAAATGGCAGTGTGCAGAAATTCAGGCAACTGTTAAAAATGTGAAACAAATCTAAAAAGCCTGGGAGAATAAAACACAGTTTGCCTAGTGCACAAAGATAACCATTAAAGCCCCAGGTAGGCTTCCCTGGGGATGGAGTTCCATAAGCAGGAATACTCTTTCTGGAAAGTCACTTGCCTTACTCCTACGAACTGGGCATGTGGAAAGCATCCTGGCAGGTTGAGATGAGAGCATAAGTGCCTCTCCACACCTGGGTGTATAAGCCATACAGTTGATCCAGCTTTAGAACATGCAAATAAAAACTATGATAAAAAAGAGTGCTTCTGTCACTGAAGAACCACAAGTCCAGGAGCTGGTAAGGCTTTCCAGGACATGGCTTCCAATCATGCTTTGCCTGTAGAAGGTTCAGGTGGGATACTGCAGCAGGTAGGGCTGAGAAATCCTGGAAATGTTGGCACGACTATAGACAAAGGCTCTGTCTCCTATACAGCAGGCTTGCTGTGTGCTAAATTTTATCGTGTTATACCAAGTTCTGGGTATCACTGATCACAAGTCAGTCTCACTGGATTCAGAGGAACTGATACCTAGGCAAATATATTCCAGGACTGCAGCAGAAAATAATCACCTTTTTGGCTCAGCACCTGGTTATGTATATCCTTCATTAAACAGCCTGAACAAGAAATTCTTACATGTTCTTAATATAGAGAGGCACAAGACTTATGTGGTGATATAGGCATCATGACTAGTAGGCACTGATAGCCTCGAAGAGGCTTCATGAATTCATCCAATCACCTTTAAAGTCATCCAAATCGGTAGGCATCAAGACATCCAATGGATTTGGCCCTCTGCAGCAAATTCCACAGATTAACTGTACATTTGTGCCAAGAGGTACTTTGGAATTTTGGATGCAGTCCTAAGTACTAATATGGCATAAGGTGCAGTCAGTGTGAGATCTTACAATATGTTACAGTGACATGTATATTTGCAGCTAGGCCAAAAGTGCAGAACTGCTTGTAGTAAGACCAAGGGCCAATTTCCATTTTTGGGAGACTCCTTGGGAGCTGCATTCTGGGGTGGGAGGAGCTGAAAGCAAAAGACAAGCTAGCCCCCAGCACCCCGCTCCCAGCATATTTTAGTCTAAAGCTCTTACTGCCAGTAATGAGCTTTAGGAGAGGCATTTCAGCCTTTTGGGGGGGGGGGGTCCTCAAATGATCAGTGCATTGGGGAAGGAGTTGGATGGAACTTCCTGAGATCTCATAGAGAACTGAACTGGGACCCCTGGAGGGGCAGATTTTTCACTCTTGTGCTTGTTCATGCCTCCTGAATATAGTTGAAGGGAAGTGTAGTAGGACATGGTCACCCTAGTATTTACTGTCCCCAGCCGCACAAATAGCAGCCAAGTGTAATGGAGACAGACAGAATCCAAATACAATGAGATGACATATTTTTCAACTGTATATGCAGTGGGAGACCTGACTCAGCCGTGCTCGTGTCTCACCATAACCTGTGGTTTGGACTTTTCTTTTGAGTAAACATGCTTCTGATTGCACTATATATCTAGTACAATTAACACTGAGTACATCAGAATCTAATGTTTGGGGTAATTTTTCCTGTAATAGAAAACATGCCAGTTACTAGCCGCTTGTTCTTTTTGCTGAGTGTTGAGTTATTACTATGTATATGTTGCAATCAATTCTGAAACTATGCTGGCTTTGTTGTTGAGAAAAGTGAAGTATAATAATTTGATTGGCTTCCTTTTTTACAATAGCATTTCCCCTAGAAAAGCTGCAGATGTTTTCCTATGCAGATGGTCAGTTAATTTAAAAAGTTCCAGCTGGCTTTCGTATCTAAGAATAAAATGTTTCCAACTTAACACGTATAATATGACTGTGCTAACACTGACTTTAAAGAAATGTTGTTTGCTTGACAGTCCCTCCATGATAGTTTATACCACACAGGTCAAAAGATGATTACACTAAGGGACATACTAAGGGACATACTAAGTTTCTGTGTGTGCATGTGCGCACATGCATGCACGCCTTTTAATCAACCCCTACCTTTATTAGAAAGTTATTAAACCAACTTGTAAGATCTCAGAATGTTGGGAGTTTCTTAATCCCTATAATTTTTTTATCCAAAAGTGCCATACTATAATGCTGTGGTTAAGTCAACCTGCATGCTCCCTTTTTCACAGCCTCAGGAATTGCTGGGCACCTTTGTTTTGTCCCTTAAAAGCTGCAAGTCGGTAAGTGTACATTACATCGCTAGCCTAAGACCTTGGCTCCTTCAAATGGCATGCTGAGGAATAGCAAAATTGGAAGAAATGAGCATTTCAGAATGTAGAGAATTCTACTGTGTATCACCTGAAGTCTGTTCCTTACTCCCAATGAATAGTCACTTGCATAACTTCCTATAGCATCTGACCCCCTCACCCCTCCAGATTGCAACCAGCACACTTTCCAGGGGTCTTTTCAACAGAAATACCTAAGTCAGTGCCCTTTCTGTAATTGATCCCCTACTCCTCCATCAGATGACAAAAATCAAACAATGTTCTGCACTCCACGTGTGACACACACAATTTTCAGGGTCTTGCACTAGGCCAGGGGTACACTGCCTGGTACTGAGCCCAGCACAGCCAGATACCCCTCTTGTCAGTGACCTTATCAATTTTAGTCTTTCGCTTTGGTGCTTCCAAAGAGAAACACCCTTTTGAATCAGATTGCAAAAAGGGAAGTGTTCCCCTCCCCATCTAATTGTCTTCTGCTCCTCTGGGACTTCCCTTGCTAGCAAATAACTTTTCACTGTTTGTTAATTTAGTAAAAGCTGTTTCTCCAGCTGCCAGCCATTTTCATCTCCCCCCACCAACCTTAACATCTGTTGCTTCCTTCCACTGGTTTCTACTGCTGTCAGATATACACAAAAGTTACAGAACAGTGAGTAGAATTTCTAAGCATGCATAAATGACTTAGCAATGCAGGAAATGGGAGGGGGGATTGCACAAATCCCCAGCAGACAGTGAAGCAGAAGGGGAAGGTCTTCATATTTCATAGCAGAACAGTATAATGGAAGAAAAATTAGCAGCTGCTGTTTACCTCTGCACAAAAAGCCTTACAAATACATTTAGGGCACTTTTTGGTATCCTTTTTCAAGATTCCTACAAAAACATTTTAAAAATTATCTTGAAAAGAAGGCATATATACTTGCCCCAAGTATATATAAATCTGCCAAGTGGAGATTAAATTCCCATGCTAGTATATTATAGTGTAGTGATGGTGAACCTTTTAGAGACCAAGTGCCCAAACTGCAACCCAAAACCCACTTATTTATCACTAAGTGCCAACACTGCAATAAAACCTGAATAATGAGATTTTAGTTTAGAAAAAAACAACAACTCTCAGCCAGTCCAAGCAAATATATATATATATATATATATATATATCTCCTTGGCAGCGCACTGATCAGCCATGTGAAAGCTCGGGTGAGTCGCGTCCAATGAGTTGTGGCTCATGACATCATCACCTGGTGCTGCTACTCCTTTCCAAGCATGCGCATGGCCCATTTGTGCTGTTATTCGATGCTCAGCTGCTGGGGCGATGCTGGGGCGACTTGGCTCTGCGTGCCCATACCCACAGGTTTGCCACCACTGTTATAGTGTGATCCTGTACACAGACAGAAAAAATATTACAACTTTCAGCCTTCTCTAGTCAATGCATTGGAGTTATAGTGTGTCCCCCCCCCCCCATAGAAACATGTGGAAGATTGCATACTTAACCTTAAGAGCCAGTGCAGCGTAGTAGAGTGCTGAACTGGGCTCAATAGATTTAAGTGCTAGTCCACACCTGGCCATAAAGCTCAATGGATAACTTTTTATTTATTTATTTATTATTTTATTTAAAACTTTTATATGCCATCCCCTCATGCCTCAGCATCTCGGGATGGCTTATGGCTATACTGTTTTTAAAAACAGTATAGCATAGTCTAACACTGTGTGGTATTTCTCTTGGGAGCCTCCTTCCTTCCATCTCCAAAGCACACACCCTGGGTTTTCGTGAAAACAAAGTGAAAATTTATTCCAGAAAAAGTAGGGAATGGGGGAATAAACCCACTTGTGATCTAACCATATAAAAATAAGTGGTTTAAAGAACCAGAGCAGATTCAGTGCACACAGCAGTAAGCGGTTTTATGTAACAAATGAATGGCAAAGGACAAAAGGGAAAAACCATCCAGCTAGCACTGTGTTAAGAAGCCTGCCTGGTTCCTTGAAGATCCACGATGTCTACAGCAAAGTTCTTCTGGTCAGGGCTTCTACCCCTTAGCTAGGAAACAACCACATCTCAGAAACCTGTGGAAGTCACTTTATGTGAGTCTTCCTTACTTGCTTCTGACACCTCTTCTGGGAAAGCACTACTCCCCCCCACAACTTCTTTTCTCAGTGGGGCATCTTTCTTCTGGAATTTGAACCCACCCCTTGGATTCAAATTCCACAAAATCAAGAAAACCGGATCAGACCAATGGTGCATCCAGTCCAACACTCTTTTCACATAGTCCATGCAATGCATAATTCTAAATATTTATTTTTTTCGATTTCGATTTTTTTCGATTTCGATCTTGGTAGTTTGCTTTTCAAATCCTTTCCTAATTATACCTGACAAGGAGTTAGCTTTTTTCACAGTAGTTGCATGTAGGTCATCCAGCTCTTCACCACACCCAAGATGCCTTTCTTGATCAGACCTGCTAGCTCAGATCTCATCAGCCTGTACTTGAAACTGGGATTTCTGGCCTAATGTACATTGCTTTACATTAACTTTCACAGAACAGCATTTGCTATTTCGATGCCCTTATTCCAGTTTAGGGAGATCACTTTGAAGCGCCTCACAACCCCTTTTATTTTAATCATCCTAGACCAGGGGTCGGCAACCTTGAACACTCAAAGGGCCATTTGGACCTGTTTCCCACAGGAAAGAAAACACCGGGAGCCACAAAACCCATTTGACATCTAAAATGAAGATAACACTGCATATATCATTTTTTACCTTTATGCTATGTATAAAAAAACTATAGTGTGTTACATTTATGAAATCAATGAATGATTAATTTATATAATCCCCATCTGTGAACGGCTTCCCGTCCTGACTATTTCCTGAGCAGCCACAAAACTAGCACATGTAGTTGAATTTGCAGACTTGATCCACTCTTTGAAATGATTCTTGCTCAGATCAACCTTCTGCATCAGTCCCGAAATGGCTTTTATATCTCATCTCCATCCGGATATTTTTCAGCAACGGCTGTGTGTTTATTCTGGAAATGTCTTGCAACATTTGACTTTTTGTTGTTTGCCAATTTCTCACCACATATTAAGCACACTGGTAAACCAGTCTCGGGCAGATTCATTTACTTTCACTGCTGACATGTACCATTAAACTTTGTTTTCTTCTGAAACTTTTCTCGGATTTATCCATGGTTAGCCTACTGGGGGTCGAAAAGCTCAATAAATCGTGTGCTGGTGGGTGTCACACATTGGCGGTTGTGACACATATTTTGAGTGACAGGAAGCCACAGCAGAGGGATGAAAGAGCCACATGCAGCTCCAGAGCCGCGGGTTGCTGACCCCTGTCCTAGACCTAAACAGTTCAGTGTCACTTGTAAATGTGGCCAATTTACAAGCATTCTCATATAATTTGTGAGTAAGTTGAAAAGCACTGGTCCTAATACAGAACCTTGTGGGACCCCACTGGTTACATCCATTTGGGGGAAATGTCTTGTTTTTATTTTCTGACCATCCAGCAACAGCTGATCCTATTTGTTCAGGTTTTCAGCAACTTAGAATCAATAGGTTTACAAAACAGCAATGCTTAGCCTGTAGATGACCTCAGTCCAGATCATCCGTATTAGAAATGGGGGGCTTCTGTTTCCTAGAACTGAGTAAGCCTGGGACCAGTGTGGGCCTGGCTGAATAGCCTACTCCAGGCCAACACACGGATTCGATTCATTACATTTGTATGCCGCCCCATAGGGCTCTCTCTACCGCTTCCAACAAGACATTGTACAAAATAAATACAATGACACCGAAGCCATGCTCTTTGCGATATGGAATAAAAATAACAAGCCACAATAAGGTACACTGTTTTTGCTACAACAGACCAACACAACTACACTTCTGTAAATTTTTAAAAAACTACCAAGCGAATAACTAACTATAGCGAATAATTAAGAACTAAGACACGAACGAATAAGACATTTCTTGCCGCACAATGAAATCAGAGCTATTCTTCAATTTGCGAGTCGGTAACACAACTTAGCACCACCCACGAGAGCACGTGGCCACAACCAACACACACTGTCCCATTTACACAAAGCTCCCGCTATTAAATTAAGCTCCACCCACTTTTGAGGCTTCGGGCCCTCTCTTAAACCTCTGTCTTGCTCATTGCCTGCCTCTGGTCGTAGCACAATACCTGCAGAAGATATATTTATTTTGGGACAATTTATATTCTGTTTTCCCCCGCATTGTCCATTTTGACTCCTTTTCCTTTATCGCAGGAATATCTATATGTTTTCAGTATGGCACGAAGTGGACAGCCCGACTATGCTAGGCCCGCACTCCGGCAGAAGGAAGCGGAGAGTTTCCGAAACCCCGCCCTCTTTCTTTTCGGCCCTGGACGCCATTTTAGAGGTACACGGGCCGCTCCGCTGTGCTTTCTTCATCACTTGGGAGCTCCCATAGCGGGTCTGTCCGGGCCCTGACGCGGCCGGGCCGAGGATGGGGAAGCGGGAAGGGGGCAGGCGGGTGGGCTGTGCTTGGAGGGTGAGAGCAGCGCTGCAGGGAGCGGATTGGCATGTCATGCGGCGCGGGGTTGCGGGAGGCCCGGCTAGGCTCGCCTCGGCTCGACTCTGAGGTGGCTGGGGAGGCCTGGCAGGTGGGGAGGAGGGTGATGGCTTGTGGGGGAAGAAGGGGCTTCGTTGACGCGGGGAAGCCGAAGGAAGCGGGGTCGATGAGACGCACGTGGCCGCACCGCAGGCTTAGGCTTCTCGTAGAGGAGGTCGCAGCGGCTTCTTGTTACCCGCACTATCTTCTTATTATTATTATTATTATTATTGGTAATATGCTCTATAACCCAATCGCGGCCCACTAATATATGTTTGGCTTTATTTTCGGAGGGCCCTCTTCATTTGTGCCTACCCTGTACAACCACCTCTCCGTAGAGATTTGGCAGGCTTCTTGAGTGGAGTTTTTCCACCCACAGATTCAGGTACATGTGTTTGGACGGCATTTTCTGCCGGCAGTCCTGCTAGTTGTCCCTGATTACCTGCTGAGATACTGTTTTGATGCTTTTTAATCTTAACTTTTATATGATAAGCTTTTTAAATGGCTTGGTAATATGGCTATTAAGAAAAAAATGCATAGAAATTTTCTGCATTAATATTTTGTGTCTTTGAAAGGGTTTTTTCATTTTGAAATCCTATCTGTGTTGAGTAGTAGGGACCTGAAAGACAATGTGCTGAGCACATCTCCATGCCTGGTGTCTCAGGTTCCTTTATTAGGTTCTCCATTTTAAATGAATCCCTGGTGGTAGGCCTAGGGAAGATTCATCTGTGGTGGAAGTCTTGGATTTGATAGATCAATAATTGCCTGATTTTGTAGAAGTCTGTGTCTTTGCCTTAATTAATCTAGACTTTTCTGGTGTGGTACTATCCAGATAGTTTGGAACTGCAGCTTGCACTGTTCCTCAGTTCTGGCTAAATGCGTTGGGCTGATTATATTTGAAGTACAAGACATCTGGCAAGAAGAGCATAGGCTAAGGAAGGTTGATCTTCAGGGTTAAAAACCCCAAACAATCATGGCTGTGTTGTGTGAACTAGCCCTATCACAACTAACAGTTAATATACAATTAGCTCTTAACTATTAGCTATTTACAGTTAACCCACAAGTGTCCAGCTTTGTATGTCACAAAATAATCCCGGAGGAGAGGTTACTTTTTTGAAATTGCAGTGGCATATGATCCAGCAACTTTTGTAGTAATTAAGCCACAATTAACTGCTATGATATCCAAACAAGCCCATTCACTGAGAGAGATTTAAGGCTGTTAACCTAATTCATCAAGGATTTCCTTACTTGCTGAGTTGATTCTTTGAAACATGCTTATTCTTGTAACTTTATGCACAATTGTGCACCATTCTCAAACACTTAAACCATTCAATCTACTTAAGTCAGTAAAGGTGTGATATTTATGTTTATGTTTTTCTGTTGTAGTAATCAGTCAAGATGACCAACACAAAGGGAAAGAGGAGGGGGACACGTTACATGTTCTCACGACCCTTCCGCAAACATGGTAGGTAATATTTCTTGAGCCAATTAAATTTGGTTTGTGAGTTGTTTCCTTTAGCTGACTAAAACATCTTGTTGAGCATCTATCTGAATGAATTTGTGTGACTGCTGAGGAGAGGATTGTATTAGACAGGGAGTCTTCATGTGTAATAATCACTGTTGCCCATATTGGAAAACCTGATGCATGTTCTTAACTCAAGTATATTTCAGTGTCTCCTGCTGGCTGTTACAAGAAAAAAATATATAAAATCCCTCCTCAATAGAATGTAATTTTAAGAAAATATGAGGAAGAAGTGCTTGTCTGTGCAACCTGAGCTTTCACAGACCTGAAATTTGCTTTTAATATTCCAGTGATATGTCAACACACTATGATTGTTAATGTTTATGTTAATGCTAATGTTTGTTAGCAAGTTTTTATGGATTGCTGTGAATATATCCTACATGTTTGCCTGCTATGTATCACATTTGTGTAAGATAATTTAGTGACCGATTGTTACATTTTAATAGGTGTTGTTCCTCTTGCTACATACATGCGCATCTATAAGAAGGGTGACATTGTTGATATAAAGGTAAGTATTAGTCAAAACTGGTTTATGGAGTTCTTGATGCCTTTTTAAAACAGAATTCAAATTAAAGATGAATAAAATGATCTTGATTCTCCTAAAATAATGAGTACTGGGGATTTAACTTCAGGAAAAAATACTGATTTATTTACAACTTTTGTATGCTGTTACATATTTAAATGATAAAATATAAAAATAAACCATGCTAAAACTAAAAAAGCAGTGGTTGATCAACCAAGGAAGGCTTCTGAAATATTTTCTAGTATTACCTATGCACGAACTTATGTATGTATTTGGAACACATTTGGATTGTTCTACTCGTTAAGTTATTGAGGGGATATACAATAAAAGTACCTATATTAAAAAGTTGCAACAGTACAAAAATCTAAAACATTTTAAAACTGGGGGTTAATGATAAAAAGAGTAACATGAATTGTTGAAAGTTTGGTAGAACAATGTTGTCTTCTCCAGCTTTCTGAAGGATGTTGAGGAGCCTAGCCTCCCCTTGGGAAGGATTTGTACAACTGGAACTAAAACTTGCCAGAGTGCTCTCAGTAGATCATGGTACTGCTGATACAAAACACAGCTTGAATGTTCCATGTTGCAGCCTGTAATAGCATTGCCTAGTAAACATTTTGAGCATGAACACTCTGGAGCTTGATGATGACTGTCTCCTATGATTGCTTCTGTAACAGCAAAGTGAGCAAATCATTTCACCGGCACTGAAAGCAAACCAGAGATGTTGTTTGACGTCAGTAATTTAAAATTGATATTTTGAAAGTAGTGAATTGAGCCAGATAAGGTATACTTGAGATTAGATGGGCAGCTGTGTAATTTTTGACATATGAAAGCAGCCTCCAATTCTAGGTTGGTCCATGACATTCCTGATGCATATGAAGTGATCCTTAAAAGGCCCAGTCTGTTGCCTGGATCTGGTATGTGAACAAGGCAGTAGGGTAGTTAATCTAAATGACAGAAGTAGCTTATTGTTTACGACAGAGAGTTTGGTTTAGTTTGGTCTGAGTGGCTTACGTTGGAAGACTTGATTCACAGCAGTTGATATGAAATGCATTTGTTTGCATTTGTTCTTGTCAGTGTCTGATATGGATGGTCTTTTCCCATGAGTTTACTAATTAAAAATGTCAACTTCTTTGATGTGCATTTTGGAATTTATAGTTGTAGATTGATTGTCTACAACACATTTTTCTGACTTTTATTAATAGGGCATGGGCACAGTTCAAAAAGGCATGCCTCACAAATGTTACCATGGCAAGACAGGAAGAGTATACAACATTACTCAGCATGCTGTAGGCATTATTGTGAACAAGAAGGTTAAGTAAGTATATTGCTTGCCATTTGAGCTCTGTTATACAGGTGTCCATCTTTCTCCCCTTCACTTTGCCAAGCAGACATTTCTTGTCTCCATTGGTCATTCAGGTGGAGTACAGAGAATATCCTTTTAAAACCCAGCCAGTTTATATTTAATTGGCTTGGATCCTGTCAGAGGAAACAGATATTCCACAAATGATGCATTCCACAAATCTGAGAACCAGTGTGTTTTGAGCTGGGGCTCGGGAGATCAGAGTCGTAGTCCCTACTCAGCCATGGAACTCAATGGGTGATTTTGGACAAGACACAGACTTTCATCCTAACTTAACTCAGTGTTGATGTGAGGGTAAAATGGAAAGAAAGAGACCTATGTAAGCCACTTTGGGTTCCTTTCAAGAGGAAAAATGTATAAAATAAATGCAGTAATATGTGTGTGTTCCAAAAGCAATGTTTATCCAGTAAGGAAAGAACTTATATTATCTGGTGCTCTTGTTGATTAAAAAATGCATATTGTTGGTATCTTTTTTTAGGGGCAAGATTCTTGCCAAGAGAATTAATGTGCGTATTGAGCATATTAAGCACTCAAAAAGTAGAGACAGCTTCTTGCAGCGTGTGAAGGAAAATGAAAAAAAGAAAAAGGAAGCAAAAGAAAAGGGTACTTGGTTTGAATTAAAACGCCAGGTAATGTATTGGGATGGAGTCAGAGAACACATACACAGAACAGATCTTTCAGTGGTACTAAAGCAAAGAGAAAAAAATAAGCAAGAGTGTTGAACAACTTAATGTGGCTGGACTACAGTGTTAAGCAGTGAATGATGCATTCCTGTGTATGTTCAAATAGAAACCACACAGTCTGGAAGTTAGCATTTTGCTGTCTAAATATGTGTAGGATTGTGCTTTTAAGTTTATCTCAGGAGCAACATGAGGCATATTTGAGGCCACTAACCTGTTTCTAAGTTCTTGCAAAAGCTGCTAATCATAGTCACAGGCATTAGAAAGGGCATTTTCTGTATGTCTCAACTGTACTTTGCTTTTGTATTTAAAGTCCATTTTTAATGGTAAAGTATATCCTGTCGGCATGCAGATATTGAAAGATAGCTGTGCTGTGTTTGGTTAGCTAAAACACTGCAATCAAACAACTGCCTGTTCTCAAATAGCACAGCACACTCAGTCTCAAAAAATGATAAAGAGAACAAAAAGATTTTGTAAAAATGCAGATTTAGAGGACCATTTCAAATTGTGACTGTGTAGCTGATGATACTGTGTCAGCAACCACCTAGCCTGGCACCAGCAATTTCCTGGAAACCCGTCTCACCATCTTGATCCTGTCAGTGTTGCCCTGGAGGGTGCTCACAAGAGTGCTTATGCAGTCCCAGTTGCATTGGATCCTTTGGCTGATTGACATTGTTGTCACTTACCACATTGACTAGGCTGCATGTAACAGTAAATTGAGGGTTGCTTGCAGTTTGCCAGGGTCACATGCTGCCACCTTTTGGGATATGTAGCTTCAGATTTGGCCAATATATGGTTGCTATATAATGTGCAAACCTGAATGCTATGGCCCTGTTCACATGTGATGCATGCCAGCACCATTTGGAACAGGCAAGTTTTGATCAGCCTGATAGGTTATTCCATGTTTGCCAGATTTGGAATAGTGGATTAATCATAGGTTAAAGTAATTGTTATTTGGTTAACCTGCCATTACTCATTTAGTTGATTTTGGGCTTATGATGCACATTTTGCACATCATGAAGCAACTTCCAAAGACAGCAGTTAGCACCATGCCAGTCTTGGGTTAAAGTAATTCTCAGTTTGTTGCTGTTGCATGCAAACACGGTTGTTGCCAGCAGAGAAGTGCCATCATTTCTCTAGAACTTTGAAATTTTAATTTCTACTGTGGAGGCATTGCAAGAAATGCAGCCTTGTATTATGCAATGGTACAAAAAGGGGCAATGCATTATTGATTTCTTGTTATTCCTGAAAGTAGGTGGTAGGTATGGCACTACTTTGCACTGGTATTTAACCTGTATTCCTTATTTTTACCTTCTGGATTGTTTTTACAGCCTGCTCCTCCAAGAGAAGCCCACTTTGTGAGAACCAATGGTAAAGAGCCTGAGCTGCTGGAACCAATTCCATATGAATTCATGGCATAGTGTATATGAATAAAATAAAATTTGTTCCAAAGGACTGAAATATATGTTGGTGTGTTCAGAGTTATTCTTCCTGAGCAGGTGCTGTATCCTTGTAATGAAAATAGTGAGTTACTGCCTATCAGTGTCCCAGTGGCTTTTCTTTATTTTGTTAACTTATTTTGTTAAGTATTACATTCTGTCAATACTTTGTCTCTGTTACGACAAAGTAAATTGGTCCTAAATACACTCTTAGGGATGTACCATTAATTCCAAGTAAGTAATCAGAATGTTGATGTAGCAAATGAAGTACACATATTCATTTGGACTGATTTGCATATCCTCTCAAAGCATAAATTTGGCTTATGTCCATTCACAATTTGAGGTGGGCAAGTCTTTGAAAGATCAATGTTTTTAAAAGGTGTTCAACACCTTGCTAATTACAGTTTATTTTGTTTTGAAGAGCTACCTGTTTGTCCAGTGTATAAAAGGGAACATATCTCTTGCTGGACTTTCAGTTTATACACCTAGCAGACCTTTCCAAAATTTCTGTATTTTTAAGTAAGTCAGGTGCTGATAATTCTGAGATTACTTGCTTCCTGTCCTTGATGGCTTGGTAATTTCATGTGAGTGATATTCCAAAAATGCTTTACACCAAGATTAATTAGGGTGAATTTGCCCAGTTAAATTTGCTCTCCGAAGAGGGAACTCTTTTCCCTGAACTATATTTATTTGTGATAGGAAGGCTTGTGGGAAAATGGAATGATCTTGCTCCTTTTCTCTGGCACATGTGCAAGCATCCATTTTGCTGTAAATAGAACATCTTATATTGCATGTACATTAAAATTGAGGCCTATTGGCATGACAGATGCCAGGAGATCTAGAAGCATGGAACTAGAAATCTTTTTGACAGTTTGATCTTTCTGCATTTCATTTCTTGACAGCTTATGCACTGATACATTACCAAGCCAGAAGTTGAGAGCAGAGGGTTGTTTCTGTACTGTTGCTGTACTCTACCGTTTTTCTCCATGCTATTCAGTGGTTTGGAATTGACTATGTTTTATTACATAAAAGTGGGATTATCTGATGTCTGTTACCACTTGCTGGTAGCTGTCTGATGTGGTTACTGCTCTACAGAGAGGTCTTGGGAAGATTATGGAATGCATGGGTGGGCAGCCTCGTCAGGAAAGGCCTGTTAAAGAGCTGTCTTTAACGGACACACATACCTATCCCATTTGGTAGCTTTTGGATATCGGAAGCATTCCACAGAAAACGGCACCACAAACACCTGTTTACCGTTTTCCATTAATTACAATCTCATCCAGCAAGGCTACCTCCAATTATCTTGGCTATTGCATGGACCAGTGATGGTCTACCAAATAGCAGAACTTTAAGCAACAAGACCTTGAACTTCGCTAAGTAGCCAGTGTTTAGGCCATGTAGTTTCTTCTAATACAGTGTGTCTTCAGAGACATGAGCTGTTTGCATTCAGGGCAGATGCAGAAATTCCATTCCCATGTACTGGCTAGTTGTCAAAATTCAGGTTTTCTTTTTAAATAGTTTCTTTGATGGATTTTTCACATGGATGTAAGACCTCTTTCTGTGCATAAATCTAAAAATGCTGTGTAGTCCTATGAAAAATACTATTTTAAAAGGGAGGGTGCTATCATTGGATTAGCCTTGCTGTGTGCTACCTGTTTTAACAGAGGTGGCATATCTGCATATGGTAGTTGCTGTGGAGCTTGGGCTGGAGGCGGTTTTGCACCCATCCTGTTTGAGGGATCCTGTGGGCGACTGGTTTGCCACTGTACATAGTGCTGCATTAGATGGACCTTTGGCCTGATACAGCATGGCTTTCCTTATATTCTTAAGAAGCCTCTTATGAAGTCAGACCTTTTTCCACTTCAAGCACCTAGAGGCTACCCAAACTACCCACAAAGCTGCAAATATGCCTACAAGCATTCTAAAGGAAATAGTGAAAATATTTGTGCATGTTTGGGATTCAAAAAGGGTCATAGTTCAGTGACATCCCTTTCAACTGCTTGGGCACTTTAAAGAGGTGTCAGTGGCTGTCGACTTACGAGATCATGAAAAGTGATATGTAAAATATTAAGGAAAGGAGTGTGGAGATGCTGGGAGCACAAAAACAAGCCTCATGATTGCAGTGGTAAATGGAGACAAGGTGGCTTTAGCTGCCAAGTTTCTTGGGATACCATGTGGAGGATTGGGGAGAAGGAATATGGGACAACTCATTGTGAAACGAATCATCTGTTCAGTGCACCATAGATTTGTTTCACAAATGTGCCATCCTGTGTTTATTTGAAGGATGTGTTTTGGCACGTAAACCCAGTGAGATAAATACCCTGTTCCTATCTCAATACTCAACATTCTTAAAGTCTTAAATGCTCAAATGTCTGGTTATTTTCAAAGTGCTGACATTTTAGTTATACCTAGGGAATCTGCTAAATATCTGAAAAGCACTCCCTTAAATATTCAAGTAAGTCAGTTTTCCAAATTGAGAGGCACTTAGCCATCTGAGTTTGTCAGCAGAGACAATGACAGCACTTCTATTGAAGCAAACAAGGTCAAATCAGAAAAAGAAATGGGCAATAAAATTATTGGACCTACAGTACAGCCAGAAGAACATAGGAATTGCCTCCTAGTGTGGTATGTTGTTTTAATGGAAAGTTCTCATATGCATTAAACTGTACAGATAATAGTTGCAATGGGAATAAAGATGTGTGGATTCAATCTACAGGTTTTCCTTGCTGATTTTCTTATCAATTCTGGCTGTTGCCAAATTAGTAACAATTAAATGAAACTTGCATCTGGAGGATTTGAACAAGTGAAGTTGGCGTGGACAAGTTGCTGAGAAAAATTGTCTTTTGGACAAGCTGCTAAATTGAACAATGTTCATTTTGGAGCTTGATAGATTTGTTTGGACACCACTTGACAATAACCAACAGCACTGTTTTACAGTAATGCTTGTCTGAATTTAGCAGCAGAATGTATCCGGAAGTAGCTCAGCATCTCTCCATCTAAATTACAGCCATAGACACATTCTTCCCACTTGCTATTATTCAGAAGAGGAACTTGTGGGAGCAGTGCTGTGACGTGAAACAGTGTCACAAGGGACACTTGCAGGAAAACTGAAATCGGATTTTGAATGCCATTTAAGAGTTTATTGGGTTGATCTATGGGTGTTTTCATCTCTCACCTAATCTTTCTTCTGTTTTCTTTTGATTCTCTTTTCCCAAGTATTTAGCTTCCCATTTCTGCATCTTTTGAGGCATTTCTCTTCATTAGTTCTCTTAGTTCTCATTGTCTCCCCCACATCTGTCACTTAACCTTGTCACTTAACTAATTAGACTCTTAGTTCTCATTGTCTCCCCCACATCTGTCACTTAACCTTGGCGTTTTGGAAGTTGAATCACTGTTCTTTTTTATACTCAGCTAGCTAATTTCCGTTGGTTCAAAATACAGTGAAAGAAGCAAAGGCTGTTTACCCCGTGTGGTACACGTTTAAAATTATCATTAAATATATACCTTTACAAAGATGGGAGTCAAAATAGGCTGAAAAGACTTGCCAGATGGAGCAGCTTTTGTCTGGAAACACCAAGCCAAATTCTAAAATAGCAAGAAAAAACTTAGATGGAAAAACAGGCAATTAGTGGAAAAGTATAGCTACATTAGAGAGTCATTCTGTGGAATCCAGGAAGCTATCCTGAAAGCTGAGATCATAATATAAGAGTAAAGTATGGTTTCTACTTCGCTGTTTTATTGGGATACCCAGTTTATACTAGTAAGTGGGTTAAATAGACATGCAATTGAACTATGAGATGTGTTTTTGAGGTGGGGGGGCGGGGTTGCTTGAAATGCAAAACAACTCCAGGCAAAAAGTGTGTGTTAAGCCTACTGATTTCCACCACAGTATTGTAAATACTATTTAGCAACTTCTTATGCACCAAAGATAGTTAAGGGTCCAATCTAATAGGGATGCCCATAACGCTCTAAACTTGAAGCTACTCCAACCCTACACAAGACTGAGGTGGTCAAAGAGCAGAGACTGAGACACTGGGGAGCAGAGGCTGACCATGAGGGAAAGTGTCACAGAAAATACATGTGCAGACCTGGTGGGCTTCTCCAGATAGGTAGTTCCTAGGAACTGTCAAATGCTGCAATGCTGAGACACTGCCTGAATACCTCTGGTCATAGTGCTGCGTGCCTCCTCTTTTCCCTGCTGTCCATGGAAAATCCCCTAAACTCCATTTCCAAGGTCACTCTTGCTGGCACGTTCCTTTCCTCACCATCTGCAAGGAGGAGACAGTGCTGCAGGCAATGATGCTGCAAGCACTGGCTCTCAGTCACAAGGTCCGAACAATGTTCTGACCTGTTAGCTACATCTCTGAAAAATCCTGGGGCATCTAGACATTACTGTGCTGAAAGGCTGATGCTCTTCAGTTGTTATTCCCATATCACAAGTTGGGATGCTCTGGCTTTTGATGCAGTACAGATTTATATTTCCATCTTGTAGGCTGTGGTATTAACAAGCCGTATTAACAATGCACTATTATGCAGGCCTGTTATAGACCATTTTCTCAGCTATAGGTTGCAACATGGATATATAACAGGGATGGACGACCTTTTTCCTTTTGAGGGCTGCATTTCTTTATGAGTAATCTGTTGAGGGCAGGAGGCAGATTGTTCTTGTCAAGTTTTGAACTGAGTGCATCAAGGCTGTATTGGATGGGGCTGGGGTGGGGGGGAGAGCACCCTTATTTTGGAGTGGGCCCTCACGGTTGTCACTGGATCCCTGAAGAAGTCAGAGTCACCACCTCTTCCATACCACCATTCAAGAGACTTACTTTTGCTGGTTGATGGTTGGCAGCTGCCACTGTAGTGGAGTCCTGTATTTAACAGGTTAAGAACAGAGGTGCTTTTTGACAGTTCCTAGGAACTACCTATCTGGAGAGGCCCACCAGGTCTGCACATATATTTTCTGTGACACTTTCCCTCATGGTCAGCCTCTGCTCCCCAGCTTGCCTTTGCCTCTTCAAAAACAACTTCC